AAGGAGAAGAACTTATTATCTTATGCCCTAAGCACCTGTTTTATATCTGGAACTGAACTGAGTTCAAAAAAGAAATGGTAGCCGCTGGGCTGGTAACATCATAGAGGTGAATTTCCCATCCACTGACTATGGCGTGGGGCCATGAGGAAACAAAACTCTCCATCACACTGATGCCATCTTAGTGCTAAAGGGACAAAGACTTGGGGACGTAGCATCGCCTCGTCGCTGCACCTTCTGGTGGGCACTCATCTTACTGAGGCATCTGCCCCAGGCTCTTAGCTGTTTGGCATCTTCCTTCCTCCCTGTACTTCTGTCTGTGGAGAGCCAGCTGCGTAGGGCTAAGTCGCAGCCATTCCGTCTCTTCTGCCTGTGGTGGTGTGAGGGGATGGGAAGGGGTACCCCTCTGGAGGTCCTCACATGCACACGGCCTCCTCTGGAAGGTCTACTTGGCATTGGCTGGCGGGAGTCCTGCCTGCATCATCTCTCTGTCCACCAGAACAGTGGAGGGCAGGCTTCTCCATCTCTGACTCTGGCAACGACCCAGGAACGTCCCTCCTCGCACGAGAGCCTGTCCACTTCCAGCCTGCCCCTTGCTTTAGCTCATAAACTTTCATTGGTACTCAGTCACACCGGCTACGGCTTCTTTAGTGCTATCATGCACAGCGGAGTCGAAATAAGAGGGTGCTCCTGGCTTGTTGGCTTGGAAAGAGTGACCCTCAACCCTTCAGAAGATACAAGCTGACCTTTGGCTCTAGGGTGCATGGCTGAAAGATGGGTTCTGACTGCCAATGCAGAGAAATCACGGTGGGGCAGAAGTCACCTCTGAAGACAATGTGGTTTGGTTACTGTGTCTCGTCACGTCATACATTTTAGAACACATGGTGGAGCGAGATCTTGATGCCGCTGCTTTGGTGTGGGAGGCAGGGCGCCAGTCTCTCATCTTTGCGAAGTGCAGTGGGCTTTCCTTCCACAATTTGGGTTGAGGCAGTTTTGGAATTCGCTGAGAACAAGGCATTGGGAATACTGGAGCTACTCCTGTGTGACGGCCCTGCCTTCCCACTGACTCCTCCCGCCCATGGGGATATGGCTTGGGCTGACAGCTACTGCACACAGGGTCTCATCACCACCATCGACAGGCTGATGGATCCTCCACCTGGGGCTGGCCTTCCTCGAGTGGTAGCAATTCCAGGCCAGAGTTCAGGGTAAAGGAACTGTGGGGTTTTTTTTCCCCCTTTCAGCCCCTTAACCTGACAAGAATTTCACTTCATCAGGCCTAGCCCCCAGGGCTCAGAAAGGGACAGAGAAAATCACGTTTGAGAAAGGCAAGAGAAATTTCAGGCAGCTCTGACTGGTTGCCTCAGTTTCAAAAGGCAAGGTTCGGGGTGGCCCAGTTGGTCCCACTCCCCCACACAAGCCCTGGGGTGAAGTGTGGTCTTTAGTGTTTCTATGTAGCGATCTCCAGGTGCTCTGTAGACTGACTGCACTATGTGCATGCCTCGGGTTGTGCCTCCCACACCCTCCTGGTTCTCTCAGCAACATTTCCACAGTGGCTCCTCAGGCTGGACAAGGAACCTGTCTGCCCTGCCTGCCAGTGGACAGACATAGCTCTATGGCCTCACTTGCCCCCTTATTCAAAAATGGGGTGAAGCCTGCTCCATTGCAAAGCTGACGTTAGATCCACTATGATGATATGCAGGCCACAGCAAAGCTCTCTGGTGGCACATCTTTGCCTGGCTTACACTGTACAACAGAATAAGGGTGTGTGGGGCATGCCTGGCTCCCAAAAGTCACCTTCAGCAGCTAAAATTTTGGCCAGAATAGGATGTCATGCGATGAGATCAGACCAGTGGGATCTGACCCTCTCTAATAGCAACTTAGCAAACTGCTCTCCAGCTGATTCTGAGATGACTCGGGATCTCCCATAGGATCGTCTAGAACAAGTCCCTGACACACTGACACACCAGCCTCGAAGCAAGGTTCTTTTGAAAAGTTACCATCTTACCCTCTGTACGGGCGCTGCTCTAGGACTCTCATCACCCAAAAGGATGGAGTAGCCTCTTCGTCAGCTTGCTTTCCTGCACCCAAGTCAGAACTTATTAGCTATAAATGGCGAAGGCACAGTGGCCAGGACCTCTGGTCTAAGCACCTGGGGACTTAGGACCAAAGTCTCAAGGTTAACAAGCGACAGACAGTAGTTGGCGTTATTGCCTGGGTGAACAACGCCCATCACACAGTCTTACATACAGGCAGGAGAAAAGACACGTTCTCTGATTTGCCGGTGGGTTCAAGAGGGGTTCCTGATTCTGTGGGGGTCTACGTGACGCAGGCAAAGATTTTACAGATTGTTTTTCAAGTACTTTTACATCGTGGAAGAAGAGAATTCTTCCTTATACAGAAGACTTGTGAATTCCAGCCACCAGAGTTTCTAGGGCATCCAAGTGGGATTCTAGGCGTACCGAACACATGAAATGAGGTTCTAAACTTAGAGATAAGCAATCTGGAAATAAGGCATAGATTTGGCAGAGCCACGAGGAAGCCCAGCTGCTGGCTGGCCGGACCTGTCTGCAAAGCCACTTTGAGGCAGAGAAGAAATAAAGGTGGGGATAATTTAGAGCCCAAGCCTTGAAGCCGGTGGTAGTGTAAGCAATATGCAACATATTACATATGCAAACTTACAATATGTAAACTGTCTCAAGCAAGAGAGAAGACTAGACCGTAGAAGGGAAGAGTCCAGTTGTTTCCCTCTGAAACACCCACTCTCAGCCAGGGTGACTACTGCTCTCCTGGGTTCTAGGGTACCACCACACCCAGCAAGGATATGAGAGTATAGTTAAATATGCTGTGCCTGATGCCTGGGGACCAGAAGACAGGAAGAGACATCCCATCTTCCACCAAACCACAGAAGATGAGAAGCTTCTAGAAGAAATGGGGGCCGACTGAAATACAGGAGTGATGCTCTCTGGAAACAGGCAGCCAGTGGCCACAATGAGCTTTGGGAGAGTACAAGGAGCTGGACCCTTGGCTGGAGGAGTCACCAGGAAGCTTTCAGTGGCCCAAATGTCTTCATGCACTTCAAAAGAGAGGGGCTGTGGCTTGAACCCTAGGGTCTGTTGCCTAAGTACTAACAACTTGGATGAACAGTGTTTTGCATAGGCCACGGAAATGTTACATGAGTGGTGTGAGCTAATGTCTAGGGAGGGGTTAGAAACTCCTGCCAGCTCTGCGAAATCTCAGGAGACCCAGCATCTCTCTACCCCATGTTGCCCCCTCCACCCGCTGCCTGATGCAAAAGGACACCACTGGACAAGCTTCCTCAAGGCAGGCAGCCTTTCTTCCACACTGATAGGAAGATGAGAAAATTAATGGGGGTAATATGAGCTCATTTCAATAATAATGAGCTTATGCACATGCCAGGTTTTGATCTTTTCTGATGCGTGGATTCCTGGCAGGAATCATGGTCCTACGTAGGTAATTGAAAGAACTGAAAATAGACTTTTAAAAATCCTCAAACAACAACAACAACAATAATAATACTCATTAAACCACTGCAACCAAACTTTAAAAGAACAATAAAAGAAAAAGATTTAAATACCATTCTCTTTGGAAGGAAGTGGGACTACTGGGCAGACATAAATCCCTTCCCTTCTTTTAAATGTTGTTTTTAACAGCTTCAAGAGTAATGAATTGCACACGGTTAAAAATAGATCCAGGGTACTGGCTAATGGGGCCGTGTGAATCATTCAGTATAGAGAACCATCAATATTTTTTTTTGAGCTGTCATAAATCCATTTAGTGATTTTTGACAATTCAAAAAGGTATTTCTGACTGCTTGATCCACTTCTTAGTGAATTAGGGAATGACAGAAAAACAAAAAGAAATTTATCGATTTAGATTATAAACAGCCTAGCTTTATGTTTTCCGCTCGGTGCTGAAGGAAACAGGATGCTGAGGTTTGCAAATGCTCCCTTGTGTCCAGCCTTCCCTCTTTTCCTCTCTTTCTTCCTTCCACAGAAGAAGGGTAAAATCTCTGAAATTCATTCATAAATTAGATGGTACAGCCCACACTACTTGTCTATCGTGGGAATTCGGGGGTGGGGGGTTTACAGGGAACAATGCATGGAGCTGCTCTTTGCAGACCTGATTTCTACACACGAACACCTGGGTGCCAACGACATGATGCTGATCCTCCCTGCCCATCCCAATATCTGTTTGATCCAACTCCGCTGTAGGACTGTGCTTTGTAAAATCTGGAATGACTACGGGGTAACAATATTCTTGAAGGAGGGAAAAAGGTGTTGATTCACGAGATCAGACAGGACGACAGGCAGGTTAGACAGACAGACACAGACAGAAGGCAACAACAGCAGAAGGCCAAAGTCACAGTAACTGCCATTTGACATGTCGCAGGTGAGTCACAGACATCCCAAAGCCATCTCCCCGAATTGGAGACAGTCCCTTGCCACACTGTTAGTGTGGTGATTTGGAGACAGTCCCTTGCCACACTATTAGTGTTGTGATTTTAGTATCCTCTAAGTCAATAAAAGGAACATAGGGGAAGTAGATCATGGCAAAGCAATACACGATTCTCTTTAGGCATCTTTTTTTTTTTTTTGAATGAGTTAAAATATGGGGAAGTTCACAAGTCACCACATCTGTTTGGTTTTTGCTTTATTTTTTTTTAAGGTGAATTTTCTTTCCCTCCCCAACTTATGGATGAAAAATGAGAGGAGAGCTCACACTCTGATACTGTCTCCTTCCCATGCCTCTGTACAGGCATTACACAGAAAGCTGGACCCCCAAAATAATGAAACTTGACTTTCGTGATTGTCTACACTGACTATATAGCACTGTTTTTTAAGGTTCAGTTTAAAATTTGCTAATGGGTACATCAATCCCCTTTTGTTGTCACTGTTGTTGGTTTTCTTTTTTTTTTTAAATGCACAATTTAGCAGTGATGTTTTGGGGGAAATGAACTGAAGGAAGAGGATTCTAAAACTTACCACACAAGTCTGGCCTCTTGATACATCCAGAATTTGCTGTGCTGCTTGCAAGCCCGTTAAAGGCTGCTAAGCCATCGGCGCTGTAGGCCCTGAGGACCGACAACATGCTCATGGGTTTCTCCAGCCCCGGGGGACCCCGCTCCGGCTTTGGCAGCCCTGCTGAGGGGTCCTGGGCAGGAAGGAGGCCTGGGTTGTGCCACTGTTCCTCTGATGGTGGGGCTAAAGGTGAGACCAGTCCCTGGATGGGCTGCGAGGCGCCTGGGGGCAGCAGGTTGTCACTACCCTCGTTGCTGCCATCCTTGCTGAGAGCAGACAGTGGCTTGCTCATCATTTCTGGTTCGGTGTCAATCTCCTCGTCCTCATTGTTTTCTCCCTTGGAGGAGTCCATGTCCTCGGAGGAGGCGATATCCGAGAGATCATCAGCAGGGTTTTTGTTTGTGGTTTCCGAGATCAGGAGAGGGGCATCCTCTTCCAGGTGGGTTTTCCCATCAGGATTCTTGTTGGAGCAGGAGCCAGGGGCCCCTGAGCCAACCATAGTGGGGTAAACACCAAATTGTTTGTAGAAGTCAGACGGAAAGGTACAAAAGGCAGGGTCCATGTGACTGGGCCACTGGCCACTCTTCTGGTCCCCTAGAGTCTCTTTTGCCGGCCCTTGGGCCATCTTCTCAGGAGCAGAGTCTAGAGCGCCGACAGCGCTAGACAGGGCCATCTCTTTGTTTGATTGTATGGAGGGCAAGACGGAGACCTTGCTGGCCTCCCGTGCCTGCTCTTTGCAGCCAACTGCCACCCCTGTGGGGTGGTCCTTGCGCTTTGCTTTGCCTAGGTGGTTGGCCTGGAGGTGAAGGGCCATAAGCTCCATGGAGGATGTGGTAAAAGCACAAAACAAGCAGCCGTGCCATGCAATGCTATCTTGCATGGTCACGGAGGAGCCAGGGAGCGTGGTGGCATCTGGCCGCACAGATAAGTCCAGAGGCTCATACTGAGATTTCTCAGACTTCCTCTGGGAGGGCTTCCCGCTGGCTCTCTCCTCTCCACCATCCGTGGCGTGGGCTTTCATGGCATGGACATCAGATGGGACTTTCTCTTTTGTGTCTTTCTTCTTCAGAGAGCCGAGGACAAAACTGTCCATGAAAGCCTGCAGGGACCCTTGGAAATTTACACCATTGCTCACGATGCTTTGATAAGCCCTTCCTATCTCTGAGAAGTGGGCGCTTTTGGAAGGAAGGTCGGAGCCTTTTAGGGCATCCGAAGACAGCTCTGAGGACATGCCAGTGGCCTGCCCTGCGTGATCTCCGGAGGAGAGCATGCCCGATGTCCACTGCTGAGAGGCAGGACCACCTCGGAAGTCGATTCCGGGGAGACCCTTCAAAGCCCCCCGCAGGATGTCTGGCCTGATGAACAACGGCGCTTTGCTGGGGGTCTCATCTTTGTGCTCTTGGTTCGGGGGCTGTCCTGACAGTGGCCCGGCTCCATTCTGTCGCTCCCGATGGTGTCGCTCCAGGTGATACTTCAGGGATGCTGACTGCGTGCCAGCGTAGTCACAGTGAGGACACTTGTAGGGTTTCTCACCTGCAAGATAGCGATGGAAGAGAAAACCAAGTGTTTATCTCATCTTTGGGGTGCAGAACAAGGCTAGAAGGATCAACATTTGTTCTTTGAGACAAAGCAGCCCAAACTAATAATTAGCTAGAGAACGACTGTTTTTTAATAGAAGAATAATTTGTGCTCTTAAGCTTTTTTAATGATTTTGTACCATTGGGGACTATTGAGGGATGACACACTATCTACACACAATTAGCTATCTTTTTCTTTATCTAACATGTGAGAACGACTGTAGATTTAAAGGCTATGATTATGAAAATTAAGCATAATAATTTCGACCACAGTGATCATTAAAAGTAGAAGTTTAAAGAGACGGAGTATGTAACAAATGAGTGGCTTCGAATATTTTGTGTATACAAGAGCGCTAGAATTTGTTTAAATTATACACATGGAAACCATTTTTAAACCTAAAAATTCTATGGCACTGTTACGCAAGACTGAAATGAATGATTTAAGCCTTGCTCCACAGTAAATCATGGATATAATTAGCAAATGGCATTCCGCACAAGCAATTCATCATTATTTGGAGGGCACCATTCCAGACGGGCTCTGATATCTGCAGACCTACTGCATTGTCTCTAAATAAAGAACTATAAATACCGATTCTATAAAATATTAATATCATTACAGTGCACTGTGATGGCGGGATGTAAAGACATATTGTTAAGATGAAAAGCAGCCGATAAAACTTAAGAGAAAAAGGAGTAATAAAAGGCACCGAGTATATTTAGTTTCTGGATTTGAAATTAACATTATCTGCTGGTCTTTGTCGAGCCCAGAATTTGTACTAATGGCAGTGCTGACGCTGAGGTAGTAAGCTGTGTAATTTACCTGTAATGGGCGCTTGCTGAAGAACAAAAATAGCTTTAAAGTGTGTTTTGGAACATATAAGATTATTTTCATGAATTAAATATTTGAATCCAACACCCAACTTCCATTGTTCTTTGTGTGATGAAGAGAGAGCCCCTTAACAGACAGCTTACATGGAGGGCAGAGGAGGATGCACAATGAATGTGGATTTAAACGCATCCCAAGAACTTGCAGGCTAGACTGGCTCTTTTCTAGACTCTGCCTCCAGAGTCTGCCCTCTCTGGGGAGGAGAGGAGTGGGATCATAGCTTTTAGCTCACAGTTGTCTGTAAAAGTTTACACTAATTGCTCCTAGGAAGCCCCTACCCCGCCACACACAAACACGCCCATCTTGTCACCTTGTCCTGTGTACTATTGTCAAACATCTAGAAAGCCAGACAATTGCTCATGAGGGAAGGAGCTCTGAAGACATTTCACTGCCTCTAATCTTGGGAGTATCAGGCAGAGATTCCCAGTTCTCACAGCAGAGGGTGTTCTGGGGTACTAACAGCCCAGGTGCTGAACAGGAGACAGCATGTGGACTATGTGCTTGAGCTAAGGGACACTCCACCTGCCACATTCCGATGAGGGCACCAAGAGCTCTTAATGCATACCACGAGCAGCTGGGGCCTCCCTGGCTACTTCTGCGCCCTTGGGGTCTACTTTCACCACAGCTGTCTCGGCTACATCAAAACTGTAAGCATGGGGCTGGAGATATGGCTCAGCAGTTAAAGAGCCCTGGCTGTTCTCCCAGGGGGCCTGGGTTAAGTTCCCAGAATCCACACAGTGGCTCACAGTCATCTGTAACTCTAGTTCCAGATGATCCAGGGCTCTCTTCTGGCCTCTGTGGGCATTGCATGCACATGGCGCACAGACATACATGCAGACAGACACTCATATAGGCAAAATGAAAATAAATCTTAAAAACAAACTGTAGGCATAAAGAGGTAGACTTTACATCTATAAGGACCATTTCCCTACTTTGAGATTCAGGCACCCTAAGGCACTGCTGACGGGCAGGGGACTGTTGGCACCTGATCAGCTGATGACCCAGTTGACCCTATCTGCCTGAGCCTAGTGGCTAGGTCCAGTGAGGGGACAGGCATGGAACACATGTCTGGAATCCGGGAACCTGACTGACAGGTCAGTGCAGCCTGGGTAGGAGGGCGTAGCAAGCAGACAGCCACAGAGCTGAGAAGGGCAGGCACTTGAGATGCTCAGGCTGTTCTTCATAAAAGCACCTAGAAGTGGCTGTGTGCATCTGACGGAGGGTCTATAGACAAAGCATGACGGGACGACGCAGCTCTGACTCAGGCCTGAGGTGGGCAGGGCAGGACCACAGGGATGTACAGAGGATGTGTGTTTATACTTCCCGGGGCTGCATGTTTGAACTGCATACTGGGGTGTTGGTTCTCAGTCCACCCTGTGCAAGACAAACAGCAGGGAGTCAGGGAAGGCACCAGTGCCGGGTCCCGAGGTCTGGGATGGGGACCAGAGGTTGGCATTTGCACAAAGCGTCACTTGTATGTAATTCTGGCGTGTATACTTACTGTAACAACTCTGCAAAAACCAACATGGGGCTGCCTGGGGTGCTTTAACAGGAGCTGATATCTGTCTCTCTCACCCTGTTCTGAACTAAGAGGCCTAAAAATATCAGCAAGGTTCTTAATCTTTCCAAATCCCTTAGGAGCCCCCTGCATCGTCTGTGTGGGGATCATGGTATAACTCCCCGAGAAACATCCCCAAGGTGAGATTTCTGACAGGACGAGCTTTGCACGGAAGACAAGCTAGACCCCATAAGGTATTTGGAGAGGTTGAAATGGAGACGGGATGCCCCACCTTTCTGTGCTCCACTGGACATGGGGTCCTGTCTTGGGACATTTGCATTCTCAGCCTGTAATGTGAGATTTTAGAGCACGTGTCCCTTGAGGCCTTGTCATCATTCTCAACTCACATCATGTGTTACACTAAGCCCCCCAAAGAGGCCAGAGACCCATATGCACACACCTATCCAGAAATGTGCATATTTGAATGAATGAATGAATGAATGCACAAAGGAGCACCTCCGACTTCAGAGCATTCTTGCTGGCCCTAGGAACTGAAGGGTTTCCTCTTGAATTTTCTTTTAGATCTACTTTATTCTCTCTCTCTCTCTCTCTCTCTCTCTCTCTCTCTCTCTCTCTGAGTGTGTGTGTGTGTGTGTGTGTGTGTGTGTGTGTGTGAGAGAGAGAGAGAGAGAGAGAGAGAGAGAGAGAGAGAGAGGTGGGGGGAATTGATTACAGGCAGTTTTGAGCTGCCATGAGAGTGGTGGGAACAGAAAACTTGGGACTTCCGAAACAGCAGCAAGCACTCTTAGCCACTTAGCCATCTCTCTAGCCCCTTCCTCTGGGATTTTCAGGGGCTGTTTTGGCTACACAGGTTCAGGAAGCCCTCCCTCCACCCTTGCCCTCTGTGGTGCTGTCTTTCCCACTCTGTGCATCGCTATAATCTGACTGGGTCCTGAAGGGTTTGTGCTTGGGCGGTCACTTCCTGCAAGTACTCCAGAGTGATGAAGGGGTAAACCTTAAAGACAAAAAGCCTCTTGGTTTAAGGTTTTTCATAGTTTTTAAGTGGTTTGAAAACCCTTATCCCCTAACCCTCCGATGTGCTGATTTCTCTTCTGCTTCCTGGACTTCCAGAGAGAGGCGTAGCCTGAAGGGTGATGTTCTGGCCAGGCAGACCTGGGAGATGGTAGTGATGTGTCATGAGGAGAGCTTTATGTCCCACTGGGAGCATCACAGCTGTTTCCCATGCATTCTTTCCCCAAAGGATGCATTTGGGCGTGCTCAGGAGGCAAACTTTGCACAACATTGGCCTGGATGGAGCCGGGTAAGACATGATAAGGAAATTGTATCAGCAAATTTAGCAGCTTGGAGGAATGGTCGAGGTCCCTCCTCTGTTTGGCTAGCAAGCAAATGCTGAGTCCACCTGTACTGAACAGCTTCATGGTTAAAGTCACTGCATCTGGACACATTCTTCCAGGCTAGCACTCTGGGCTGACCATGACAAGCCTCACGCTGCAGACATGGACAGAATTCTGCAAGGAGCCAGGCAGTGGGTTCACCCAGTTGCTCCCAACTAAGGTCTGACTCTGTCGGAGACTTGGACAGTCATTCCCTGTGCAGCTGGGTGGCACAGGTAACCTCGGACCTTGTCAGCAGCTCTGTCTACTTGAATGATTGGCCACTTAAGCCACAAAATGAGTCTAACTCTCCTAGGGGAATCCCTCAGACTGCCTCAGGCTTTGCTGGGGTTGTGAGTCCTCCAGTCACCTCCATGATCAGTCCCGGCATCTGCTTGCTGGAGCAGCCACAAACTCGTGCAAATCACCAGCACACGAAACAGAGGGGAGCGGGGAATGAAAGCTTCCACTCAGCTTTAACTCTGAGAGAGCCCGAATCTCTGATCGTCTAAGAGAATTCTCCTATCCAGATGCCCACATACCTACCTCCATATATACTACCATCTCACTTTAGACCTTCAGACACTCAGAGGGCAATGGTACCCTGGCTTGAAGAATGGGTCTAGTGAGGAGGCTAGTTCAAAACCTGTGCCTTAGTACAAGGATATCCAAGATTAGGCTGTTCACACACTGGAGGAAGAAGGTAAGAGCATTAATGATCCTCTCACGATATTTTTAAAGGAATGCAATGTAGGCCATACAGTATATTTCTAGAAAAGAGTTCGGCTAGAAAAGACATAATACATTTTAAAAAAAAAAGTTAATTGGTTCATCATTTTGGTGGACTAATGAACATATCGGAAACATCTTAGAATTAAGTTAACTTCTCACCAATGTGTAGCATGAAATATATATTCAATTTTGGAATCTCATTGATTCCTAATCATTAGACTGTAGGCTTTCAGAAATATGTGACCAGGTGATGGACTAACCACTTCTTTGTACCTATTTTTTCCATAGTTGGATTTAATTCTTTTAATACAAGTTCTCTCTGTGTAGCCCACGTTGGCCTTGAACTCATGATACTCCTGCCTCAGCCCCTGAGTGCTGGAATGACAGATGTACACAACTATACCCAGAATAATTCACACACACACACACACACACACACACTAAAA